CCCCCGCCCCCCGCCCCCCGCCACAGGTGCGGATCCTTAACCACGTGACTTGGAAAATGATCACAGAATTCGGGCATCCCGCGACCATTAGTAATCCCAAAATAGTAAGTCTGGAAGCACATTTCTGTTTGAACAGTATTTGGGGGAGGGGGTCGAAAACTGCTTTTTCACTCTCTGTTACTTACGGTGCTACAGGTGCTTACATCCCCATAACCTCCCGATACTGTAACATTTCAGACGTCAGACTTGCCCAGTGGCCTTTGTTTGTCCTGCCACATTCCCAGGGGGGTCCAAAGCCGTGTCCTTCCCCTCCCCAGCCCCCAGCCCTGCGGCTCGCTCTGGGACCAGCTCCTGCTCTGCGCTGTGAACAGGGTCCCCTGCCTGCAGGCGCCAGGCATCTGCTGGGCCACCCACTGTGCTCTGGGCCAGTCGGAGAAGAGCAGGCAGGCCCTTACCCCATGGGGTCTGGGCCGGGGCTGGGAGGGCTGGTGTCTTCCCCGGGTGGGTAGGAAGGCTGCCTGCCGAGGGGTCCTGGGGCAGACATGGGGAGGAGGTGATGCAGGGTTTGGGGAGCAATTCCGGCAGTAGGAACAGGCACAGGAGTGCAAAGGCCCTGAGGTGGGAACAAGCATCCATTTATTCAGCAGGCGCCAGTCTGGGTGCTCGGAGACCTTAGGGACCCGGAGAGACACCCTGCCTTGAGGGGGACAGCAGGGATGGGGACAGACACCCTAGTGAGTTGTCTGCTGGTGAGGGACCTAAGATGGGTGAGTGGTAAGGAGAGAAGCAGCCGTGGGGCTGCTGTACGGCCCGTGAGCCGCCTGACGCCGGCAGGGACTGGAGGACCTGCTGAGCTGCAGGAACAGGACTGGAAGGCGGCCGGGTCGGGTGGCGCTGCCCCAGGCCTCGCAGGGTTCGCTGGAGGTCCTTCCACCCCGCGGCCGGTGCGGTCTGAAGGTGTCGGGCCGCTCGTCCTTCCCGTCAGGCCTCCGGTGACGCACGCTGCCTCGCTCCTGGCCCGTCTGTCACCTGTCCCCACCGAACTGCTGGCCCGGGGGTGAGACCTCGTGGAGAGTGCCCAGGAGGGCGCGGTGAGCGGGGCCGCGGCTGCACATCCTGCCCAGGCCGTCTGTCTTGCAGGTGGTGTACAAGGAGGCCGAGAAGAGCCCGCCACTGGTGCTGGGCCGCCTGGCCTTCCCTGCGCCCAGAGCAGCGGCTGGACCCCTGTCCTCCACGGAGAGCAAATGTGAGCACCTGGGCCCGGGGTGGGGGCTTTTCTCTTCCTCCCCTTTCCTTTCCTCTTATTATGAACAAAAAGAGTCCTCTGGGTCCAGGAAGATTCCAGACGCTTCTTGTTGTTTTTTAAAATCCTCTCCTTTCCTGCGGTGCCTGGTAGCCAGCATCTCTCTTAGCTGTGAGCCAGCAGGCCGCCTGGCCACTGACTCTGTTGACTGAATACAAGCCCTGGGAATCCTAATTTGACGGCTAGTCCTCTGAGGGCAACTTTTTAATGAACACTGACTTCCTTGGGTGAGCAGGGCCCTCAAAGGGCTCAGGGAGACGCCGCAGCTGTGTCGGGAACCTGGGACGTTACTCGTCTGTAAAATGGCATAATTAGGGCGTCAGAGGAGCCACTGGGACGGCCACTAGGCCCTGCGGTGGCGCCTGGCCCGCCGCAGCTCCGGAAACACGGCCTCGCAGGGGAGGGCGCGAGGATAGGCCTTGAGCGCCACGGCCAGGTTCCCACTGAGCCCTGTTTTCCGTAAGATCCTGTCCTGTGTTTGCTTCTCGCCCCGCGGGGGGTTGCTGGCAAGACTGCAGGCCCTCGCCCCGCGGGGAGGCTCAGGGTGCTCTCTCTTTTGACGCCCAGACGAGGTTGCCTCGGTGCCGGTCTCCTTACAGACGCTGAAGCCTGCCGCCGACAGAGCCAACCCCAGGATCGGCATCGGGGCGCTGGCCTTCAGTCCCGACAGCTGCTTCCTGGCGACGAGGAGTGGTCAGTGGCCCGTCCACGTGTGTGTGCTGTTCCCTCACCGCTCCCTCGGGGCCGGGCAGTCGAATGGCTTGAAAGGAGAGTCGGGGTGCGGGTCTCCCGCACGTGCTTCCTCCTGTCCTGCTGCAAAAGCGTCTGGGGTCACTGGGCCCATCGGAGCAGCAGCCGCCCAGCCGCTGCACCTCAGGCCCTGGCCTCCGCTCCCTCTGTGTCCCTTTGGGAAAGAGCAGAGCTCAGGCCGACAGGACTCCCGTGTGTGCCAAGCAGCCTCGGGGAGGGCCCTCCCCCACTGAGACCCCAGGCAGCATCCGTCCTCAGGCGTGAGCGGCACGGGGACTCAAGCCGGGGAGCAAGGGGTGACCGCGGGCCTGTTCACGTCTTCCTTCCTCAGACAGTGTCCCCACTGCCGTGTGGATCTGGGACGTCCAGAAGCTGAGGCTGCTCGCGGTGCTGGAGCAGCTGTCCGCCGTGCGCTGCTTCCAGTGGGACCCGCGACAGGCCCGGCTGGCCATCTGCACGGGGGGCAGCAAGGTGTACCTGTGGTCGCCGGCGGGCTGCGTGTCGGTGCAGGTACCCGGGGAAGGTGAGTGCAAGCAGGGACGCGAGCAAACGGCCTCGAGCAGAAGGTGAAAGCCCTTCTCGGAGGCACCTTCCCATAAACCTCAGGGCCGCCGGGCGTGCGCACTTGACTTGGGCCCGCAGCTTTTAGCGTCCCAGGCCAGGGGGAGCCTTCCCGCCCGCTGAACTCTGGGGCTCCAGCTGGGTCACCCTGGAATGCTGGTCTATCCTGCTCTGACCTCCTGGCTTCCTCCAGGTGACTTCCAGGTGCTCTCCGTGTGCTGGCACCTGAGCGGGGACTCCCTGGCCCTCCTCAGCAAGGACCACTTCTGCCTGTGCTTCCTGGAGACGGAGCAGGGGGTCGGCACAGCCTTCGGGCAGAGGGGTGACCACACGTAGGACCCGTGCATGATCAGGCCCACGTGGCTCAAGGTGGGAGACCTTGGCTTGTGTTGGCCGCGGGAAAGGAGCAGAGCTTCTTGGTGCAGCGTCTCCCACTGGGGTGGCCTGGAGGAAGCACTTTGCTTGTTTTTCTGTAGCAAAGCCATTTTTGTTAATGTGTATGGTATAAAACTAATTTTTGTTACTTAAAATAAATATTTGCTAATTCATAAAATGTCTCGTGCTTACTTTCTTCAAAGGTTTAGGTCACAGGAAAGTTTTCTAGGTCAGTTTTAAGTTTGGGGTTCACTGTCTTAGGGAAACTAACTGTGCCCCAAGCGGCCAGTCCCCCTCACACAAGACCCGCTCTGCTCGGAGCCTCCATTCTGTCACTGAACGCTGTGGAGAGTGGCCTGTGGGTCCCGTGGGGCCTGTTCCGGAGAGGAGGGGGGCCCTGAGCACCCAGGGTGGGGTTGCACCTCCAAGGGAGGCTGGAGCTACAGGTCCTGGGGTGGCTGGGTCAAGGTCAGCTCCCCGCAGGGACCGTCCGCTCTGGCTGTCCACCTGGAACAATCCGGGTGCTTCGGGAAGGCGGCCAGGGCTGAGGAGGCTGGTGGGGGGGGGGACGAGGGTTTGTCACCCTAGGTAGAGGCTGGGCAGTGCACACCGCTCCCTGGTGGTCATGAGGGGAGCGAGTGGTACAGAACCCTCACTGTGCACACAGCAAAGGGCTCAAAACCAGCGCAGAGAACAGCTCATGCTCTAAGATTCTCTCATTTAACAGGACGCTTTCTTGGTTGTTGCACCTATTTTAATAACTTTAAGAAAGGAATGACACCCACTGTTTTAATGTTTCAACTCAGATTTTAAATGTCTTTACTGTGGACAAGCCCCTGCATCCAAATCACGGCCATGCTGACCACAGCTACGCCAGAGTCAGAAATAAGGAGGAGGAATCGACGGGCTAGCAGTTAAATCCTCAAGAGACGCTCCCAGGCAGACCACTCAGCTGTGGACGGGAATGACGACTTCCCCCGGGCTGCTGTCTAGGGGTGAGCTGCATCAGGAGACTCTGACGTGGTTCCTTTTCAGAAGTGCATTCTTTACGAGCAAACTAAGCAATTCCCTTTTTAAATATGAATATGACAACAAACTTAACCGAGTTGACAAAATTGTGTGCAAAGAACTTATCAATGTGACTTTCTCGGACTAATGACTTGTCTTAAAATGATTTTCTGTAAACCTTTTTGGGCCTGGGAAAGATGCCATAAGTAGTATTAACACAATATAAATTAATTTTAGAAAAAGTGTGACTTTAGGCTGAACACATATTTCCACAAAAGCCAGTGTCCGTCCGTTCAGGAGCTGACAAGGCAGACCGTCTCTTGATGAGCTCGTGCCTGCTGGCTTCTTTCAAATTAGCTTTAAGAAAGTGGATTAAATCTCCAAATACAGATTTGGACACCAACTGTAAACCACAGGCACTGAGTCTCAGGTACCTCCTTGGATGTAGCGATCTATGTAGCTGCGGTGCTGACGGGGCTATTGCACTGGAATCACGCAACGTTTATTATTAACATGCTCCAGGGCTGGGGTGGGAGGGACCACGGGAAGCCAGATGGAGACCCCAGCGGTGGGGGGCACGGTAACTGAGGTTCTAGGAAGCAGATACCGGCCAGGACGGTGACAGCGATATTCATTCTGCTTTGTCTGGAGCCCACGTGACCAGATGCCCAGTATCCAGCTAAAGTATATGGTCCATCTGACTATGCTAATCGTGCCCAGACCCCTACAGGTAAGGGGCTCGGACCCTGCCAGTGGCAGTGGAGCTGGCCAGAGGCCTACTGCCCCCAGGGTACCATCGGCCTGGCTCTCCCAGGGAAGAGACCCGCGTGCGGTGCCTAGAAGCCGATTTTGCCTCTGGTCATGGAATAGCCCAGCTTAGCCTCGTTGTTGATGAAGGACATCAGCCCCACATAGGTCTCGATGAGGAGGGGGCACTCCAAGACCAGCACGCCGCCAGCCTGGCCTGGCAGAGGACTCTCCTTCTGGGCTTTTTTGACAGCTTGGATTAACAGAGCTTTGAAGCCATCCAGCTGTAAAGAGAGAAGACAGGGAGCTTGATCAGATGATCCCCCATGCGTCTGTGTCAGCCCGTCCCCACCCTGGAGAGATGCCTGCCCAGACGCATCCAGCAGCCCTTGGGCTCATCTCCTCTGCGTCACCCTCCAAGCGTCACACCTCACCTCTGCGCTCACCTGTGACTAGCCACAGCCAGTCCTCACGGGCCTCACTCTGCCGGTCGACGTGGCTTTGCCGTAGTGACCCACCTACTCCTCCCCACCACCCACCAGGCGGTGAGCAGGCCAAGGTGCACAGCTGGCAAGTGGGGGCCTGTCGCCAGTCCTGGACCCGGCTCTCACCACCCCAAGGCCTCCTCTCCTGCTGAGCACGCAGACTGCCCAGCTCTACCATGGGCAGGGGTCACCTGCCACACCCCGAAGCCCTTCTGGGCCCTTCTCCAAGACGACCGCAGCCACAGAGGACCCCATCATAGAGCTATGCTGACCAGCAGCTGCTAACTACACAGGGCTATTTAGACGTAAGTTAACAAACTTTTAAAAACCGAAAGTTTATTTGGGGCTTCCCCAATGGTGCAGTGGTTAAAAATCCTCCTGCCAGTGCAGGGGACACGGGTTCGAGCCCTGGTCCGGGAAGATCCCACATGCCACGGAGCAACTAAGCCCATGCACCACAACTACTGAGCCTGTGCTTTAGAGCCTGCGAGCCACAACTACTGAGCCCACGTGACACAACTACGGAAGCCTGCGCGCCTAGAGCCCGTGCTCTGTACCAAGAGAAGCCACCGCAATGAGCTTATGCACCACAGTGAAGAGTAGCCCCGGGGGCTTCCCTGGGGGCGCAGTGGTGGAGAATCTGCCTGCTAATGCAGGGGACACGGGTTCGAGCCCTGGTCCGGGAAGATCCCACATGCCACGGAGCAACTAGGCCCGTGAGCCACAACTACTGAGCCCACGTGCCACAACTACTGAAGCCTGCGCGCCTAGAGCCCGTGCTCTGTAACAAGAGAAGCCACCGCAATGAGCTTATGCACCACAGTAAAGAGTAGCCCCGGGGGCTTCCCTGGGGGCGCAGTGGTGGAGAATCTGCCTGCTAATGCAGGGGACACGGGTTCGAGCCCTGGTCTGGGAGGATCCCACATGCCACGGAGCAACTAGGCCCGTGAGCCACAACTACTGAGCCTGTGCGCCTGGAGCCTGTGCTCCACAACGAGAGGCCGCGATAGTGAGAGGCCCACGCACCGCGATGAAGAGTGGCCCCCACTCGCCACAAATAGAGAAAGCCCTCGCACAGAAACGAAGACCCAACACAGCAAAAATAAATTAATTAATTAATAAACTCCTACCCCCGACATCTTCTAAAAAAAAAGAGTAGCCCCGGCTCACAGCAACTAGAGAAAGCCCACACACAGCAATACAGCCAAAAGAAGAAAAACTAAATAAATAAATTTATGGGAAAAAAACAGTTTATTTTCCCTGTTTAGCCACTGTTCAAGTGCTCAGCAGCCACATGTGGCCACCGTACTGGGCAGCACAGGCCTGGAACATTCCCATCCCACTGGGCAGCGCTGCCGTTACTGTCTGTGTTCTTACTTGGCACAGAGAGGCTGTCTTCTCATCCACGCCGGCCATCGGGTGCTCTATGAACGTGGTGTACGGCACATTGGTGGACCAGGGGTTCCATCTGCTTATGAAGGACGGGCGGCTCTGCTTGTCCCACTGGATGCGAATCCCAAAACCTTCTCGCCTACCGAGTGGGAAGAAAGGGACCAGACCTCACACAGCAGGCCACAGCGCCCCCGAGCACCTGCTCAGTCATGGGTGTGAGATTAAAAAGCTGTTCCGCCCGGTAAAGATAAGACTGATGACATTTCACAACAGTGAAGGACCCGTGGGGTTGGACAGGAATGGTGTGTCTAATAACGAGAGCTTTCAGCACTTTAAAATATGACAAACTGAAAGCACTGTCTTAGTTGTGCTAACTAAATGAGTAATATTTTTGCAAGTTTAAATCCTTTTCCCTGAGCATCTTATCGTTGGCTAAAATTTTGAGCTTATCTTAGCTTCCTGAATTCCCTACCCAAATCTCTTCATCAAAACTCTAAAATATACCGTTTAATTCACCTGAGTATACTGATGTCCAGGTTTCTCATATTTCAGAAACCTCCCTAACAGATGAAGATCAGCTCTTGAAAACTGGCCATCAAACGTTTCCAAATTTAATCTTCAGTAATATCTGCAAATCAAAGCGACACACTACCTTTTTCTTTTAAAAATTAACCACAACAGAGCTTGATGTGACAGGTGTAATCCTTTCTTGGTGGGAATAAAATGCTGAGTTTGGCTCTTATCTGAAGAATACCCACGTCGGGCCTGAGTTCGTTTTACTCCAAGCCTAATAACTGTCTCTTGTGCCAGAATTCCTTCTATCGCGCCCTGCTGGGCACAAGTCACCTGTCTCTACACTCTGTTGCTGTTGAAGCAAGACATTCACTGGAGGCTGATTTCGGAAGCGCTGACTGGGAGGCCCTGGTGGCGGGCTCTCTGTTCAACACACTTACTTATTGAGCGATTTCGGGGGAAACTGAAATTCTCCGTAGGAGATGGTGTCCACCGCGTTTAAGGCTACCCTGACCACCTGCTGGCACTGCAGGCTGATGAAGTCGTATTTGCAGATGAGCAGCGCCTGGTCGGTGATGAGCACCAGCCGCTCCTTTTCGTTGTTCCAGTGATCGACCCTGCGGGCGGCAGCGGTTACTTCGGCGCCCGGGGCGCACAGGCGCCCGGGCCCCTCCCCAGCGCGCGCCCCCTTACTCAGTCAGCAGCCACACCCCCTGGATGTCGCCGTCCTCCACTGGCCGGACCACCACGCGGATCTCCTCCACCGCCTGCTCGATGGTGCCAGGCTGCTGGGAGCGTGGGGGGCGGGCCGGGGGCGGAAGTCACAGGTCACGCCCGCTCGCCCGCCCCGCCCCCCCACGCCCTCTCCCGCCCCCGCTCCCAGCCTCACCCGGAACACGAAATACTCCTTGACGCGGGCGCGCCGCGTGGGGTCGTGGACATTGAGCGGCCACAGAGTCTGTCGCAGCGGAGTGCCCGTCCCCAGCCGCCCCCCGCCTCCGCCGCCACCGACGCTGCCGCCCGGCCCGAC